TAAGAAAATTGTCATTCTTCTAAACAATGTATTCACACATTATTATTTGCAAGTAAACTGTCATTCTTTTGAACAATGTATTCACACATTATTATTTGTAAGAAAATTGTCATTCTTCTAAACAATGTATTCACACATTATTATTTGCAAGTAAACTGTCATTCTTTTGAACAATGTATTCACACATTATTATTTGCAAGAAAACTGTCATTGTTCTTATCATTATATTTATACAGTATTATCAGCAAGGCTGATCAAAGAATTCATTAGGCCTCTCACCTCACAGATTCTTTTTTCAATTTTACATTAGTGAAAAAGATATCTGTAATTGTATTTATGCGATCCTAAATAATAAACTTTGTCATTCAATACTCTTAATCACCAATTTCGTTTATATTACTTTGACTTCTTTGGTGAACTCTGCTCTTAACCACCTACAAATGTGACTTTACGTAAATATGGCAAATCTCTTTTTATTGGTTTACTTGGTTTTATTGACCTTCAAGTTAATCTTGCGTGATATTGCCAACCTGTGAAAATATGACTGTCACTAGTTAGACTCTCCAGAGGTCATGGAAACAGGGGCTTTGAAGCTGCAACATGACCTAGTAGCCTCTTCTGAAACTGTAGAAATCTTTAGAATATTTGTATAAAGCACGACGTTATTTAATATTTTTGTTATATATTTAGATACTGTATTTTTGTCGTAGTTGTTTCTAGCTGTCTTTTAATTTAATCTTCATATTTCGTTCATTATATATCGGTAATCTGTACGAGTATACTTTGATTTATCCATTATGAAATCTAATATTTGGTTGGTCGTATCTCTTCCACACATCACTCGTGAACTCATTGTGAAATCCTTTGACTCTCCTGTTACTGCAAAAGATACCTTGTTTCTGCTGGTTTGCAATATATTTCACGGCATCAACTCCACGATAATTAAAACAAACTGAGGTGCTTACAAGTATCTCTTCTGATAAGCATATCAAATCACTGAAAAATAAATGTTTTCTTATCATCTCAAATTTACTTAGTTCAAAAATTTAATCTAAAGAATAGCCGTTTTAATAAATTTATTCACACTGGTTCATTTAGCTAAGTCTCTGCTCACACTGACTTATCTAGCTAACACTTTATTCACTCTGACTTTTCTAGCTGACTCTTTATTCACACTCACTCATCTAGCCAACTTTTATTCACACCCACTTATCTAGTTAACTCTTTATCCACATTCACTTAGCTAGCTAACACTTCATTCACGCTGACTCATCTAGCTACCACTTTATTCACACTCACTCATCTAGCTAACACTTTTACTCTCATTTGTCTAGCTAACACTCTTTTACACTCACTTATCTAGCTAACACTCTTTTACACTCACTCATCTAGCTAACACTTTATTCACACTCACTCATCTAGCTACCACTTCATTCACACTCACTTATCTAGCTACCACTTCATTCACACTCACTCATCTAGCTACCACTTCATTCACACTCACTCATCTAGCTAACACTCTTTTACACTCACTTATCTAGCTATATTTTTATTCGTATTGACTCATCTAGCTATATTTTTTTCCTATACTGACTCATTATCTAACTTTCTATTCTCATTGACTCATCTAGCTAACACTTTATTCACACTCACTCATCTAGTTAACACTCACTTATCTAGCTAACGTTTTATTCGTATTGACTCATCTAGCTATATTTTTTTCCTATACTGACGAGTTTAATAATAGTTTATATTT